TGCCATGCTTGCTCAACTTTCTTGGTCAGTTGTTGTGGCACGCTGGTCAATGGTAGCAGAAAATCCAAACACCTGGATGCAAAGCAAACACCTGAACAAGAGGAATTGGAAATAATTTCAAGGCTGTAGAGCAAACGATTACCCGCATCAGTGAGCAGAAGAACACAAACAGGCGCCGAGGTGGATTTCACTGCTGGGTATCTTTGAAGCAGCTGGGGTGGACCAAGCTGCTCGGTTCGTTGTGTATTATGTACGTATAGTATATATGTGACAGTGCTATATATATTACTAGCTGATACTATTTTGGAAGGCACATGGGTAAGCAGGTTGCTTCCTTTCGTGTCCGTGCACCGCTGCCAAGTGAGAAGGGGCTGGTACAGAAAAGTGCCGAACATGGCGCTGATGAGTAGCCATGCAATGTGGCCAAAGAGTTTGAGTATGAGGATACTCAAAAGCAGGAGGCCCGTCGCCAGGCTTCCATGGAGGTGGAGGCAGGGGATTGCGTGGTGGAAGCTGACAAGTGAGATACACAATTTGTTGTAGGACCCGGAGGGTACTCTCTGGAAGGATGATGTTATTCCCCACGAGGCCTTACAGTAAGGAACCTAGCTCATCAGCATTTCAGAGTGCATGCGCATGCACTTGCCTGTCTAAGCGCTCAAACGTGCAAAGGCGTGGTGGTGAGGGTGCCGTACAGCAGACGGCCTTTGCTGAGAGATCCGCAGCAAACGAAAAGACTCAATCTTTGCCAGTGTTGCAAGCAAATACTGACCCCTTTAGTGCCTTTGCCTATTTTTTTGGAAGTTTCAAGAAGCATTGTGTTGAGCATTGTTCATGGACTAGGACCTGACCGGCCTGATTAAGATCCAGTTGCCTCAGGCATCCTGCCGACATTTATTGATGCCCTTGGCAAGAAAATGGATAAGGGTGATGAGGCTGAGGACTGGGATCGGAATCTTATGAATGCATGTTGCTTATAGTTCATACCCCTCGTCCAGTGAGCAGGAGAAGTTGCGGAAGATTGAGTCGGATCGGGCAACCGCGTTTCTTGTCCCAGTAAGCACGTGCCATTGAACTGAACACTTGGGACTTGAGACCGTTGTGAAGCAAAATTGTGGATGTGACCCTGTGCTCACTCATGTTTTCAATCAATCAGGTTGGCACACCAAATCAAGACCAAGCTGAAGGACTTTGGCGCGAAGTACGAGTGTCTTTTGACTTTCCAACAGGATGCATGCGCTGTTGAGGTTCCTTCTTTGTCTATGCCTTAGGACTGTGTGTTTCGCAAGGTTTGCACAGCACAATCTTGTGCTGGCCCGTTTACACTTGCTCCCCAGGCAGCAGAAGCAAGAACTGGTTAGTGCATATGTGGCTTGCACCAAGACAGATGTTGCCTTGAACACCTTGCTGAGCCGAGCCCGGACAATGAAACAGGTTAAGCCTAAGGCTAAGGCTGATCCAAAGAAGGGTGCAAAGCCTGGCGGTAGGAAGAGGAAGGACAAGCCCAAGCGTTCCAAGGGAGGGGAAGGTGAGGGTTCCAAGAAAAAGGCAAAGAAGGAGTAAGAGGGTAGATAGGTAGCCAGGCTGTAAGTTTTGCGTGGGTATAGATCACAATTGCTGATCTCTTTCACACAGTGCAGCTGTGTGATGGGACCCGTGCCACGATTGGTGCGTGGTTGATTTGGTCCCACTCAATCTAGGTCCACACCGGATGTGCTCCCAATACGTTGAAAACGGGCGATGCTCTTTTGGCTTTCACTTGAGTTTACGGTACGCTTTGCAGATAGTGCTTGCAACAGCCTTCTTGCTTCTGTTCTGAGCCAGGTCTCCATTGCCCTGACGGCCATGACTGTTTAGAGATTTGGTGTTGCCAGCCTGCCAAATGTTCTTTGTACGCGGCGGGTGGTCGTGACCTTGACCTTGGTCTGCAATCAGGCCAGCCACGTGCTGTTGTAGCAGTCGCGCATTACTTGACCAGCAGGCCTGGGGCTTGGCAGATGTGAAAATGATGACGCATCTTCTTCTGCAGAAGAGGCGCTGGCAAATGAGCTCATGGATGACTACTGTCTTGGGGCACCTTGATTTCCAACTGCTTTACCTTTGACGTGTGGATTCACTGAATAGGTTTGTAGCCTGTCTGAGGTAGAGACAGCTAAGCAAACGTGCAAAATTGCTTCAATGATCTGCAGGGTCAGAAAGAGTAGAAACTCGACGGCAAATGTCGTTGCACGTGCGTAGCTGTACCAAAGTTTGATTCATTGAAGCCTCATGACTGAAGGCAAGGCGGATCTTCTCCACAAATTGGGGAAGGGTGGCAGAAGCAGGACCAATGCCTGCAAGAACCTTCGTTCGCTCCTCAAGAGGAACAACCGATATCTGCCAGTCCCAATTGAATGCACTGGCGTGAAGATAAAACTCAAGAAGCCCAAGATCCGGAGGATTGATGTCTGGTGGCCAATACTGAAAGTGAAAGACTTCTGTGCAACTTTGTTTCAGAAGTCTCCTGGTGTGCTTTTGGGCGGCCATAGACTGTGTGATGTAGATGCTTGGAAGAGCATGCTGAAAATGTTTTGGAAGGACTTCAGGACCATAGACAGGTCCCATCCTTTCTTTGAAGCAGGGCTTCCAGAGGAGACATCCATTCCTGTGCATTTGCACGGGGATGAGGGGCGGGGCTACCGCTCCAAACCGTACATGGTCCTGTCGTGGCAGCCAGCAATTCCAAGTATTGGGCTTGATGGGCTCAATGAGAAAGGGTTTTCTGGCTGAAGTCTGTTTGGAATTCTTGTAGTTCGAAATCTTTGACAAAGCAAGTGTTACTTGTTGGCATGACTATAGGCATGCCTTCACCACCCGCTTCCTCTACACGTGCATTTCCTCTGTACTATTTGCAGAAGACTGCGCGATGGACGACATCAACTCAGCTTGGGCTGATGAGCTCCTGGAACTTTTTCAGGATGGACTTGAGGCGTTTAGAACGGGTTGCTCAACAGTTGGGTTTTAGTGTTCTCTCAATGCCATATGTCATGTCAATGCCAGCCAGGTAGGGTCACACCACTTTTACATCATTGTTCTTGGATGCAGGGGCGATTGGAAATACCTACGTGAGGCCAGCTGAGTAAATTTTGGCAAGCAACACTTTGTGCTCCTGGAAAGGCCTTTCACCTTTATCCCGGCTACCAGCACAAGATCAAACGGAAATGTCATTTGTGCATGGGCGAGGACTGAAACATGTTTTAGAGTATGGAGCACAAACAAGTACTCTTGCAGGACTGGGCGAACATGGGCGAGGATGCTGTGTGGCGTCAGACTATCAATGAGCATGCTTGGGTGTCTGCGTTCAAAAATGTTGAAGTGCCTTTGCGGAAGGTACCAGGCCTAGAACATGCAGGACGTGTCCTGCCAGACACAATGCACAATTTTCACTTGGGCTGGGGCCAGGACTTAGCCGCAAGTTCAATATGCCTTCTTGCCAGGTTCGATCTTTTTGACACCAGGTCTCGGAAATTTGATGACAAGTTGGAGGCAGCGCACTCTTCTTTTATGACATACTGCCATACCAACAAGAGGACTACCAATTGTGATGCCTTTTCAATTCTCATCTTTGATATGGACACGAAACTTGGCTGTCCCTTTCCCTTGCAATATGGATGTGTGCATGTGAGCCATGTACTATAGCAGCTGTTTCCCCAAATTGTAAGGCAATTTGATGGGGACCGGGATCTGCCCTCAGGAACAACAGCTGGCCCACTTCTGTGGGTGGAAAGGCCTATGATACTGGGCTGGCGCTATCGTGGCTGGAAGAGTTCATGAATGGTCAGGTTCCTGGATGGAATCTAGCTGTTAACTTGCTATATACATAGCTGAAAGAGCCTACTGTTTTTTGTTTGAGGAATGTGTTTTATATACATATGCAGCCTGCGCCAAACACAACTTAAGGACTGTGATGAGGTGGAGTTTCCAATTCTCCGCCACACTGTGCAGTCAGCCAACCGGTTCTTCAGGATGTTGCGAGAGAATGGGGTTTTTCTCTCTGACCCTGTCCGGGCTGAAGCCATGGAATGTTCAAAAGACATGTGTGAAACTAAGCTGAGGTCTAAGGCTGTTTTGGCGGGGTGAGTTTTCCATTTTTCTATCACCCAGGGACCCTTGAAGTTTTCTGGGGCTCACCGCTCCAAATCATTTAAGGAAGGCTATGGTTATTTGGCGGCCTTTACGAGAAGAAGAGAACTGCGGCTCTTCATGCTCAGACCCAAAGTCCACATGTCTATGCATACTACGTTATCTATGGGGTTCGGGGTGAAGGCCATCAATCCTCTTCGTCAACTGGTGAAAACATAGTGATGAGCACTGAAGCCCTTTTGTTTGGTGCTCAAGGTCAGTTTGTTTTTTGAAGCGCTGCTGAACTAAGTCACTTCGTGTTGGATTGATGAGTCCTTCATTGGTGCTATTGCACGTCTTCATCGCACAGTTCACCCTATGAGGGGGAGCCTGAGGGTAATCGAAAAAGCCTTAGGTGTGTACAGGCTGAAATTGGAAAGCCTGGTGACTAGGTGGCCACCCTAGCTACCAAAGCCCAGAAGGCAAAAGACTAGTTCAACTAGTTCCCATTCAGGCTGAGCTTCCCGACGTTGTGCGGTAGCGTAGTTGAAGTGCGCGAGGCGTGTGCGAAGGGAATGGAAAACCGGTTGTGATGGTGCATGTTTATGCACTAGGGGCAGGGGTGGTTGCATGTTGATAAGATGTTGGGATATCATGGTACCATACAACATCTAAAACCCTTGAAATCCTTCTTTTCTTTCAAACTCCTTGAAATTCTCGGATTCCACTGGAAAACATATGGTCTACTTAAACGACTGCTTTATTCTCGGAGAAGTAATCTCCAGGTACATATGCCTTCGAAATTGCATTTCATATGGCACTCATGTGTTGGCTTCATTCTATTGAACGGGCGTTTCTACACGCTGTGGGCGTATATAGCTTGTCAGGAGCCAGAGGAGGATGAGGAAGGGGACAGCATGCCAAATATGTGCACTTCGACGACCCCTTTGGATCCATCCTTGCTGACCCTCTCGGATGTGCCACCTGCCAAGGTGCGCGACATGGGAGGAAAAGGGAGGAGAGTGTGTTTTCATGTCGTTTTTGGTGTCAGTTTATCGGTGCTCATCGGGTTGATCCCTTTTCCAGGTGTTGGCGACTCTTCACTTGGACTTGGTGAAGGAGCGCAACAAGCTGAAGGAACCTCCAAAGCCTTTGCCCAACGCACCCTTCTTCCTCCCTACTGCGCATGAGGGCGTCACGCCCCGCTTCGCAGCACCACTGGGAGACGAGGAGAACGAGGCTCCAGAGCCAGAAACCACTGGGCGGCGGCCATCACTCTTTGAGGAGCTTACCGAAGAGAAGGACAAGATGGCGAGCTACCCATCTTGGGTTTGCAGGGACGATAGATACATATCTCATATATATATATATACAATATTATTATGATTAAGGTTGAAGTTTTAGGGGGTATGTACGGTACAGGATTTATGAGTAGATGTTTTGTAAGGGTAGGAAAGTTCTCCAATGTTCTCCAGATCGCAGGTGTTCCAAGGGTAGGAAAGTTCTCTAATGTTCTCCAGATCGCAGGTGTTCCACACCTCACAAGCATCTCGTGAATTCCTTGTATGACCCTCTTGTTTCCACCACAAGAGACCTTGAACATGTTCAAAAGCAACGAAGATCGTTTTCCCACTTTTGAATATAAAGCACAACCTTTTTCAAGGGACAAAAGAGGAAGAGCTGCTCCAAAAGCTCAGGCTTGCCCTTCCAAAGCTTTCTTCGGAAAGGCCTCTACGACAAGGCCTTGGAATTCCTCAAGTGCCAGACGCCGTCGGGAGTGCACCTGGCTTTGGAGCAGATCGGCCCAATGGCTGGCGGAGGTGAGCAGGAGTTGGAAGCAGGTGTGGTATCTTCCAGCGTTGCGGGGCAATGGGGATATGTCATGTGTGAAAAAGCAATTGCTGGCTTTTGGAACTAACAGGCCACAGGCGTTCCACGCAGTTTCTTGTCTAGAACTGATATTTTACTAACATGGAAACGCCTGTAACCTCCTGAACAGTTTATGTACAGGCACAGGCACGAGATACAGCGTGTTCTTGCAGGACCCAAGCGCAACACCACGAGAAACATTGGAACAATCAGAAACCTAGAATCATAGATTCTTTTGTGGCTGCACAGGCACTGTCGCTTTTCCCTTCGAGGCCTCCAGTTCTTCCTCCACCATGTGACCTCCTCACACTTCGCCGATGAGGCAAGAGGACGGTGGACGGTGAAGGCATCCAGCCTGACTATATACTTCATTGAGCCAATGTGGAAGTAGAGCGGAACCCTCCTGCAAAGGCAATGTTGAGAAGATAAAGTGGGTCGAACGAGAGAAAGCGACTGCTGAAAAAAGTTCTTTAAACTGATTACTACAACGTAGACACGCATGATACGGCGAAAAGATGAACCTTGCAGAGCTCTTGCCTTTGCAACCTGTTCTCCGTCCGGCGATGCGGAGAGAACGGGCCTTCTTGGGCAATCGGGACTCGACAGCCAGGTTCAAGCGTACCTTTCATTGTTTCTGATGGCTCATGGAGAGGAGATCGCTTCCTCCAAGGACACATGGGTTGCTTCATTATGGCTCATGAGAAGCCCGGCAACCTCCGGCACGGATAATCCTGCGGGGGCTCAACCGGCCTTTTTTGCAAAAATAAGTGCGCAATCCAGTGATTTGTGAGATGCTACTTTTACTGTTCTTTATTTATGATGTCGAAAAATACTGAAGAACTGAGTTTTGATCCCACAGGTTCTGATAAGCTTTTGTTGGAAGATCGTTGGCCTCTTGGCGTCTCTGAGCTACCTTCTTGTTTGCCGTTGCTTTGGTCTGGGTGTTCGGTGCTTTCACGCTTGCCGAAGACGCGATCTCCGTCTCTCGTTGTTTTGTCATCGGCAGCCTTTGTTCTGTTTCGTCGTTATTTGCGAGCGCGTCCCTCAGAAGCTACGGATGCCGTCTCCAGTGGAGTGTCTGGTGCCATCACTGCAGAGTCGACATCGGCCCACACAGGCACCCTCAATGCTCGGTGGACATGTTTGAAAGAGCAAGTTACGGCTTCGTTGTGCACGTGGCTAAAGACCAAGAAACTCAACCCCTTGCTTCCCCACTATACTTGGCAATTCCAATGGCGATCTGTGCAAAAGAATCAGAACTGACTCAAAAGGACAGGGCAAACGATGTATGCAGAAATGTTTGGATGAGCTTTGTACGTCGCAGGAGAAAAACAACTGCCAACACCCCCAATGAACAACGAAAGCAATCGGATCAACCGGAGACATCAACATTTCAACCAAAGAGTCCAAGTATAGAACCTGTTCACGACAGGCGAATTAGCAAAACCCACACAAGAGACAAAACATGCGTGTCCCCGTCCGACATTCGCCGAAACTGCGACGTAAGTAACCAAAATCGTGCAAAAATGAACGTCATTGCCACTTGCCACACGCCAGCCTAAGTAAACCGCCTAAGGGTCCAGGT